CAGAAATATTGCAGCAGGGTGCAGCAGAGGTTTGGAAATGGCTATACGAAGGCGATTTCTACACCATTGACTGGGGTAGCTGAAAACGACGGTGAACAAGAGGAAGATGTCAACCAATGGGGTAGCAAGGAGAGGGCTCTACAGGTATACCAGTCCATGGTGGGGTCTATAATGTACCCAGTTTCATGCACACGCGTGGACATGGCATACGCAGCTAGCCACCTTGGGCAACAAGTGCAGCAGCAAGGGGAGAGAAAGTGGAGAGAGATGAGGAGGACCATCGACTACCTCCTGCAACATGAAAATGAGGGGCTGCTATTTGAAGGAGGTGAAGAGACCCTGGAGTTAGTGGGGTATGCGGATGCTTCACACGCATCCGACAAGAAAACAAGGAAGGGAGCATACGGTTACGTGTTTCTGCTCGGTGGGACAGCAATCATGTGGCAAGCGAAAAAGCTGGCTGGCATATCGCTCTCTAGTGCGGAAGCGGAGTACATGGCTCTGTTTTACGCATGCCAAGAGGGGGTTTGGCTGAGAAGGCTACTCAAGGAAATGGAAATCAAGGTGGAAGGGCCAACGGTGATTCGCACGGACAGCAAATCTGCAATCGACTTGGCTCATAACGATAATTGGCATGGCAGAACCAAGCATATGGACGTGAAGTATCATTGGGTGCGCTCAAAGGTGAGTAGCAAGGAGTTCACGTTTGAATTCGTGCGTACAGAGGCACAGACGGCAGATTTTCTGACTAAGGTGTTACCAAGAGCTAACTTTGAGCGTTGCAAGAGAGAGGTTGGAATACGTACCTTGGCTGAATTGCAGGGGAGTGTGGAGCAGGCCTAGAGATGGTTCAAGGTGAAACGTACGAGGGAGAGTGCATAAGCTGGTGGTTAGCAAACCACAGGGGAGATTGTTGAAGGTGGTTAGCTAACCACGACCTAGCACAACCTGGAGCGACCTACATCGACCTAAGAAAGACCTACCTTGACGAGATGAGACTAAGGGAAGGCGAGGACCTAAGAAGAATATAAGCTACTTATGTTGGGGCGGTGGAAGAAGGAATACGGCAGCGGCAGAACCTATGGTGAGAAACGAAGTGAAGAAGAGGAAGCGTGCAGACGTGGAGAAGGACACGGCTGAAATGTCGAGATTTCAAGTGAAGTGAAGAGAAGTCACGCCAGGTCAAAGGCGCGTCCAAGGAAGTATGAAATTCGAACTCGAGGCGCGTTCGGCGCATGGTTGGATTTGGAAATCGAGCCGAGTACAACTCAGCTCGAAATTAGGCGTGGCGCGAGGGCAAAATCAGAAATCCTTTTGCTTATAACTTGCTTTGTGTTTTCTGTTTTTGTATGTCGTCTTCAATGCAATCACTGGAACTTTCTGTCTTGATGTTTTGCAGCAAATTCCTTCACACAGTTGAGGCCAGAGCTTCCCATGCAAGCTACTAAGACTCTAATTAGTCTTCATAGTCTAGACTAAAGGCTGCGCACATACAAGAGCCCAAGCCTGCTAAGTCCCATGGCGACGAATACGAAGTTATGCACAGGATGCTTAAGTGTTGCAAAACGGCTGCGCTGATACTGGCGCACTAAGTAAATGAAAACGCGTTTATCAACCCGCAAATACTCATAGAATTTGTCCTCGGTCATGGAAGTTATCAGTCGAAACCACTGCACACGTGCGTCAAGGTGGTCGCCACGCACGAACACCCGGGTCTGCCTAAGAGTGAAGGCCGCGACGAGCGTGGGGAGTGCCGTGCCAACAGCATTGAGAACGGGAAGCATCACCATCTGCAAGTACCCCTGCCATGCGATGCCGAGAAAGTGGACCAGGTGGAGGATTGTCATGCTGGGCGAATGAGGAGTATACCAGGTGTTGCCATTGGGGCTATTTTTACCCAGGTTACGCACGAGGCGCGGAAGGTCAGTTGTGTTGGAATGAACTGCTGCTGCTGCTCGCGTGGCACCAGGGTGGCGGGAAAACTTTCACGTGGCGAAAATTTTCGCCACAGTTTCCCCGTCAGCCAAAATTAGAATCTGCAAAGGGCATCTCCCAACATTACCCATTCGCCACTTCATCATCCTTATCTCCAGTCAGCAAGGCACACTTCCATTTTCACCCAGTACAAATCCTTCAATCCTCCACCTCATATCTTCTCCAATCTTCCTCAACCTTCTCCTCCACCAATCAATCCAAAGATTCCCTACCAAGCCTTAAATCAAAGCCCCATTCATTCCAATCACCAAGCCTTAATTTCAAGGCCACATTCATTCCAATCACCAAGCCTTAATTTCAAGGCCACATTCATTCCACTCACCAAGCCTTAAATTCAAGGCCACATTCATCACCCCCACCTTATCCAACTTAACCAATCACAATCATTCATCTCCTCCTCTTCTTCATCCAACCTCAAGCTCCACCAAATACAAAACAAAGGGTCCACCCCATTCCCCTAATATACTTTACAAGCAAGTTTTTACCTAAGCTCTGCACAAGTTCTACTCCAAGCTCTCACAAGGCCACTTCAAAGTCCTCCTCCTCATGCCCAACTCCTAAGGCTCCACTCACCACCAACCTCTCCCAATCCAAGCTCATAGCCATGTTCTCCAACTCTAGAGAAGCTTATGCTTCATAGTCTTTCTACTAGATTGTTATCAATGGTTGCTCTTTAAGTCCATCATGTACCTCCTTTGGACTAGTGCATTTTAAGTTTTGAGGCCTCAACATCAACCTTCGACTTTCTTCTAATCAAGACTCAAGCTTCACCTTCAACACTCAAGCTTGGAGGTTCTTCTCTACACAATAAACAAGATCTACACCTCAACACTCAAGCTTGGAGGTGCTTCTCCACTCAACAATCAAGATCTACTACTCAACAATCAAGCTTGGATCTCACTCTCCTTCCAACAATCAAGATTCACAATTCAAGCTTGGCTTCTTCAAGTTACAAAGTTCCTTCAAAATGACAAGTAAGACTCTTTAAGGTAAGTCACCTCCTCCTTTCACTCTTGTCAAGTTTCTCAATTAAAGCTCCCCTATTCAAAGCCTCTTCATTCTTATCAAGTCTCCTTTCTTCTCAAATCTTAGTTTCCATTATCAAGTTTGTTTAATTTTCAAGCTCTTTTACCTTCTCATCAATCACCCATTCAATATCTTTCTTTCAATCAATTGTTCTCTCCCTTTAATGTTTTCATCATCTTCCTTTCAAGTTTGTTATTTTTATCCTTAACCTTATTAGCCTTTACGTTCTTACTCAATCTCTTCTTCATAGGTTTCTTTATCTTATCAATTTTGTCTTACTTCACTCTTAACTCTTTCTTCTAGGAGTTTTCTTTCTCTCTACTTGCTATTTACCCTTCCTAATCCTTTACTTCAATTTCAATAAGTTGGAGCTCTAGGCCCTTGTAAACCGAGGCGCACAATGTTGACGTGGCGCACTGTCAAGACGGGCGAGCCGGGTAACCTATGTTGTTGACGTGCGGCTCGGCGCGTTTTTACAAGTTCGAATGTCGGGGTTCGACCTTGTATGTGTGTGTGGTTTTTTACAGTGTTGTAGACCCGAAGTTCGAACTTCAAAGACTGAAACTTGGGGTCCAAGAGTTTCTTAGTTAGGAAGGTTGCTAGGGGCAAGAAACGTGACTGGCTCGCGAACCAGGGTGTTGACCAAATCGGTGGTTTTGGGTCGCCAAGTATCAAAACCTCGCGATTGAAACCAGATCTGGAATGCAACATCAAAATTCGTTCACAAATGGTTTCGGATGGGCGCGAAATCTGTTTACGAAATCGTCACTGTTCTCGTCCAGTAATTTCGCGTGGCGAAAAATTTCCCGAAGGTTTTCGAAGTTAGGAAGTTTGAGCCAGTATCTACTGGGTCACACCCAGCCAAAGTTAGGAAGTTTGAGGCAGTTTTGGCCAGTTTGGGACTCCGGTTTTAAAACCAGGGTGCACATTCAACGCGGTTCGGCTTGAGATGTTGGGAAGGGGGTTTGGAGAAAAACAGTGATTGGCTCACGAGGGGCGACAAAAAAATGATTCCGCTAGAGCTTCGGGCATTTCGTAGGTGGCGGGAGGGGGTGAAATGGCGGGAGTGGGTGAAACCGAATGGCGGGAGGGATGAAACAGATTGGCGGGAGGGGGGGGAAACGAAATTGCGGGGGAGGGGGGAAACAAAATTGCGGGGGAGGGGGGAAACGAATTTCGACGGGGAGGGGGAAATGAAATTGCGGGGGCGTGGGGAAACGAAATTGCGGGGGAGGGGGGAAACGAATTTCGACTTGAAGGGGTTGAAAGCACACCTCGTAACCCACTCAGTCAAGGGATAACATTTGATGCACATTCAGCTGAATGTGCACCCCGGTTTTAAGTTTAAAAACAAAATTTGCCCTAAAAACATAAACTTACCAGATTTCAAAGACCACACGCGCCCTTAGTTCCGGGCCTCTCGGCCCCTGGTCGGTCACCCCTCTGGCACTGTTCGGCCCCAATATGATTTTTTCCCACCTTCCTCCCTCCCAGTCACAACCAGCGAGCAGTTTTGTGGCGAGATGCAGGCCACGTGGCAGATGCTCTCTTCTGGAGGCTCACCCACCCACCCAGCCCAGCATCCACACCTGCATTCCCCCCAACCAGGAAGTAGCACCAACAGTCAGCCACCGCAACAAAACCACTCCCGTTCCCCTACCGTACCGTTAAAGTATTTCATACCTTGCCCCACTTAAACGCTCTAGCCACGTTAGTTTTCTCGTATCGCCTGAGGAGAATTCGTTTCGCGACAAACGACCGTCCGTCTCCACAGCTGCTCTCTCCACTCCATGGCGTCTCCGAAGCTTCCCGTTCAGGTACGACGCGGAATTCAGGGCACTTAGCGACCTCGTCGTTCGCTGAATCCATCTGAGCGCAATGCTCCGTGATTCTGCTCAGTCACGAATGTGGCTCGGCTGTGGCGGAATTTGCAGGTATTCAACCCTAATGGAAGGTTCCGCGTGGTTTCCACAAAGCCTATGCCGGGAACCAGCTGGATTGACGCGCTAGTTGCTGCAGATTGCCGACTCGAGGTGCGTAGGCCTTCAAAGTCCCTCGGCGGTACATGTCGATGCTGCTAGCCAGCAGCCAGACGAGCCGTTATCCCGCTTCACTGCTCCGCGCATCCAATGAAAGGAATTTGTTTTCCTTTTTTTAAGTTCAGTCATGACAACCAATGTTGTTTTCAGTATTTCTTCTTTTCGCGCTTCATTTTTCCATTTAATTAAGCTCGCGATTTCCCCCGTGCGACAGATCTGCACGGCGAGCAAGACGATTCTGTCGGTGGACGACATCCTGCAGCTCATCGGCGACAGATGCGACGGCGTCATTGGCCAGGTGCTTGCAGCGAGCAGGTAGCTCAACGAGCATGTGCCTGTATCTCGAGCACATGCATGCCTATACCCACAAGTTGCCAACAGCAGCAGCTGTTCTCCGTTCGCATAGTCGCATCTGTCGCCGATGCCCAACATGCCTTCAACATGCCCAACTCCCCAAACCAAGCTCCCACTCCCCTTCTCTCCCCCTCCGCATTCCCCTTCCGCTCCCTCGTGTCCCCCAGCTGACGGAGGAGTGGGGCGAGCGGCTGTTTGCGGCGCTGGCGCGCGCGGGGGGGCGGGCGTACAGCAACATGGCGGTGGGGTTCAACAACGTCGACGTGGACGCCGCCACGCGCCACAGCATCAGCGTCGGCAACACGCCCGTGAGTGCCGCACGCGCCCGCGAGTGGTCGCTCGCTGCTCGCCTGGCCATTCCCCTGGCGGCAGCCGTCGGTGATGGGCAGCAGCAGCAGCAGCAGCAGCAGCAGCATCGCAGCAGATAAACGGACAGGGACGGAGCAGGGAACGGCAGAGCAAACGGAGTAGGGAGAGAGGAGGGAGTCGAAATGCGCCTTGTCCTCGCACGGCACCATTTGTGGCCTGGCCATGCACGAGAGCTCGCGTGGCGTCGAGGCGAGGGCACTGGAGCCAGCCCCGGCGCACTCCCACGCTCCTCACGCCCCTGTACCCCCTCCCCCTTCCCCTCCCCATCCCCCTCCCCTTCCCCTTTTCCTTCCCCCTTTCCCCAACCCGCCTCCCCGCAGGGCGTGCTCACGGAGACGACGGCGGAGCTGGCGGCGGCGCTGACGGTGGCGGCGGCGCGGCGCGTGGTGGAAGCTGATTACTTCATGCGCGCGGGGAAGTACGACGGCTGGCTGCCTACCATGTGAGCCGCGGGGGAGCGGGGTGGAGGGGCGGAAGGGGGGCGTGGCGGGGGTGGCAGCGGGTATGGGGTTGGTAGTGGTGTTGGGGCTGGTGGGGGCGGTGGCGGCCAACCACGTGAGTGGGGAGGGGAGAGGCAAAGGTGGGGAGAGGCGAAGGTGGCGAGGTTGGCAGTGGGGATGAGATGTTGACTGCGCGCGCAGCATGTGAGTGGTGAGAGAAGGTCGCTGAAATGCAGTGTGCTGCTGCTGCATGCCGCTTGCGCGTCACCACTCAACTCTGCACTGTCCCCTCCTCCTCCCTCTTTCTCACCTTAATCTTAGGCTTGCTCACTTGGGCACACGGCGCATTGCCTCGCTCTTATTCCCCCCTCCCAACCCCCTCTCTCCCCATTCCCACCCCCCTCTCTCCCTCCTCCCACCCACCTCTCTCTCCCCTCTCTCCCCCTTGCCACCCCCATCTCTCCCCCTCTCCCCTCCCCCCATGCCCCCCCTCCCCCTGCGCCGCAGGTTCATCGGCAACCTGCTCAAGGGGCAGACGGTGGGCATCATCGGCGCGGGGCGCATTGGCAGCGCCTATGCACGCATGATGGTGCGCGGGTGTGATGGTTGGGGGGAAGGGGAATCGGGGGGGGTGAGCCGATGGGTGGAACGGCAGAATGGGGGATGGGGGAAATGGTCGATGGGGGAATGGGGTTTGGATGGATGGAGTGATGAGAGATGGGGATGTGGAGATGATGAGATACGATGGATGGTGAGTGGTAGCAATCCGCGGAGCAGGCTCATAGGGTGCAGCAGCGCAGTCAAGGGCAGGGAGAGGATCAGCCAACTCCCACTATTGTGCCACTCTTGGCTCCTCACCCTCGCCCCTCCTCCTGCGCCTATAGGCAAGAGTGGAGTGTCATTGAATGCGCTGCTGGGGATTCCTGTAGTTTCAGTTGAAAGGGTCCCCATGTGGAACGGCCCCTTGTGTCCTCCTGGGTTCAACCAAAATCCCAGAACAAAAAAAAAAAAAAAACGGTAAGAACAAACATAATAATAGTTCCTCCTATTCCCCCTCCCTTCTTTTCTCTCTCCATTCTCCCCCTCCCCTCTCTAACCTCCTCTCTTTCCCCCGTCTCCTCCCCTGGCAGGTGGAGGGCTTTAAGATGAACCTCATTTATTACGACCTGTACCAGTCGAAGCGGCTGGAAGAGAGTGTCTCCGGTGAGGAAGGGGGGGAGTGGGTGTGGTGTGGGGTGGGGGGCGAGTGGCGAGAGAGGAAGGGAAGGAAGAATGAGACGGGAGGGAGTGAGGGGAGTGCTGGAGAAAGAAGGGGAGAGGCGTGTCATGCAACAGAGGAACATGCTATTGAAATCGTTTCATATCAATTACACTTTGAAAGCCAATTACACACTTGAAGTTATTACTCACGCCTCATAACAGTTTCACTGCAACACACTTCTCCGTATTGCACTTGCAACACCTTCAGTTCAAATATCATACCCCCTCTCTCTCTGCTCACTCTCCTCTCTCTTATTCACCCTCCTCCCTCTCCGCCTTCTCTGGCTCCTGCCAGCCTATTCCTGCTTCCTCCAATCACAGGGCGAGCCGCCGGTGACATGGCGCAGAGCGTCCAGTCCCGAGGAGGTGCTGCAGGTTGCTGACGTGGTAAGCTGCTGACGTGTACGCAGTGTCATGGTGCATGAATGATTTTGTCGTGTACCGAGAAGAGCATTGGTTGGGACAACTGGAGTAGCATGTAGGCAGGGGCATGTTGTGCACATGCTTTTGATCCCAACCATCCCATCCCATCCCATCCCTTGCCATCATCCCGTCCCATCGCATCCTATCCCAATGCTTCTCTTCCATTCGGCCCTGTAGGTGTCGCTACACCCTGTACTCGATAAGACCACCTTCCACCTGCTGGACGAGAGACGGCTCAACATGATGAAGAAGGTACACTGCCATGCAATCACTGCTCGCCTATACTTTCTTTTCAATAATCACTGGCAGACGGACAGAATAAGTTTTTTCCATGAGTTTGCACTAGAATAAGTTAGTTACTTGTCTCCATAAGTTCTTCCATGGTGATTTCCATTTTCTGGATTGGAGCCTGGCCTGCTATGCGGCTGCTCCCCATGTCCCCCCACGTCTTCTTGCACCATCCCCCCTTCTTGTTCCACCACCTCTCTCTCCCACCCCACCTCCACACGCCATGCTGGCGAGCTGGGGGGGACGAGGCAGTGCCTGTGCCTCACACACACCACTCGCGTGCCCCCTCCCCTCGTGGCACCATCTCTCCGGGTTGCCTGCCATGTTGTATGGCCATCATGGCTCCCCGCCTCCCCCGCAGGACGCCATTCTGGTGACCTGCAGCAGGGTGGTGGACGAGGTGCCACACTTGCCTCGTGTGCACCCATGCGTCTCCCATGCACAATCTCTCCGTGTTGTATGGCCATCATGGCTCCCCGCCTCCCCCGCAGGACGCCATTCTGGTGACCTGCAGCAGGGTGGTGGACGAGGTGCCACACTTGCCTCGTGTGCACCCATGCGTCTCCCATGCACAATCTCTCCGTGTTGTATGGCCATCATGGCTCCCCGCCTCCCCCGCAGGACGCCATTCTGGTGACCTGCAGCAGGGTGGTGGACGAGGTGCCACACTTGCCTCGTGTGCACCCATGCGTCTCCCATGCACAATCTCTCCGTGTTGTATGGCCATCATGGCTCCCCGCCTCCCCCGCAGGACGCCATTCTGGTGACCTGCAGCAGGGTGGTGGACGAGGTGCCACACTTGCCTCGTGTGCACCCATGCGTCTCCCATGCACAATCTCTCCGTGTTGTATGGCCATCATGGCTCCCCGCCTCCCCCGCAGGACGCCATTCTGGTGACCTGCAGCAGGGTGGTGGACGAGGTGCCACACTTGCCTCGTGTGCACCCATGCGTCTCCCATGCACAATCTCTCCGTGTTGTATGGCCATCATGGCTCCCCGCCTCCCCCGCAGGACGCCATTCTGGTGACCTGCAGCAGGGTGGTGGACGAGGTGCCACACTTGCCTCGTGTGCACCCATGCGTCTCCCATGCACAATCTCTCCGTGTTGTATGGCCATCATGGCTCCCCGCCTCCCCCGCAGGACGCCATTCTGGTGACCTGCAGCAGGGTGGTGGACGAGGTGCCACACTTGCCTCGTGTGCACCCATGCGTCTCCCATGCACAATCTCTCCGTGTTGTATGGCCATCATGGCTCCCCGCCTCCCCCGCAGGACGCCATTCTGGTGACCTGCAGCAGGGTGGTGGACGAGGTGCCACACTTGCCTCGTGTGCACCCATGCGTCTCCCATGCACAATCTCTCCGTGTTGTATGGCCATCATGGCTCCCCGCCTCCCCCGCAGGACGCCATTCTGGTGACCTGCAGCAGGGTGGTGGACGAGGTGCCACACTTGCCTCGTGTGCACCCATGCGTCTCCCATGCACAATCTCTCCGTGTTGTATGGCCATCATGGCTCCCCGCCTCCCCCGCAGGACGCCATTCTGGTGACCTGCAGCAGGGTGGTGGACGAGGTGCCACACTTGCCTCGTGTGCACCCATGCGTCTCCCATGCACAATCTCTCCGTGTTGTATGGCCATCATGGCTCCCCGCCTCCCCCGCAGGACGCCATTCTGGTGACCTGCAGCAGGGTGGTGGACGAGGTGCCACACTTGCCTCGTGTGCACCCATGCGTCTCCCATGCACAATCTCTCCGTGTTGTATGGCCATCATGGCTCCCCGCCTCCCCCGCAGGACGCCATTCTGGTGACCTGCAGCAGGGTGGTGGACGAGGTGCCACACTTGCCTCGTGTGCACCCATGCGTCTCCCATGCACAATCTCTCCGTGTTGTATGGCCATCATGGCTCCCCGCCTCCCCCGCAGGACGCCATTCTGGTGACCTGCAGCAGGGTGGTGGACGAGGTGCCACACTTGCCTCGTGTGCACCCATGCGTCTCCCATGCACAATCTCTCCGTGTTGTATGGCCATCATGGCTCCCCGCCTCCCCCGCAGGACGCCATTCTGGTGACCTGCAGCAGGGTGGTGGACGAGGTGCCACACTTGCCTCGTGTGCACCCATGCGTCTCCCATGCACAATCTCTCCGTGTTGTATGGCCATCATGGCTCCCCGCCTCCCCCGCAGGACGCCATTCTGGTGACCTGCAGCAGGGTGGTGGACGAGGTGCCACACTTGCCTCGTGTGCACCCATGCGTCTCCCATGCACAATCTCTCCGTGTTGTATGGCCATCATGGCTCCCCGCCTCCCCCGCAGGACGCCATTCTGGTGACCTGCAGCAGGGTGGTGGACGAGGTGCCACACTTGCCTCGTGTGCACCCATGCGTCTCCCATGCACAATCTCTCCGTGTTGTATGGCCATCATGGCTCCCCGCCTCCCCCGCAGGACGCCATTCTGGTGACCTGCAGCAGGGTGGTGGACGAGGTGCCACACTTGCCTCGTGTGCACCCATGCGTCTCCCATGCACAATCTCTCCGTGTTGTATGGCCATCATGGCTCCCCGCCTCCCCCGCAGGACGCCATTCTGGTGACCTGCAGCAGGGTGGTGGACGAGGTGCCACACTTGCCTCGTGTGCACCCATGCGTCTCCCATGCACAATCTCTCCGTGTTGTATGGCCATCATGGCTCCCCGCCTCCCCCGCAGGACGCCATTCTGGTGACCTGCAGCAGGGTGGTGGACGAGGTGCCACACTTGCCTCGTGTGCACCCATGCGTCTCCCATGCACAATCTCTCCGTGTTGTATGGCCATCATGGCTCCCCGCCTCCCCCGCAGGACGCCATTCTGGTGACCTGCAGCAGGGTGGTGGACGAGGTGCCACACTTGCCTCGTGTGCACCCATGCGTCTCCCATGCATAATCTCTCCGTGTTGTATGGCCATCATGGCTCCCCGCCTCCCCCGCAGGACGCCATTCTGGTGACCTGCAGCAGGGTGGTGGACGAGGTGCCACACTTGCCTCGTGTGCACCCATGCGTCTCCCATGCACAATCTCTCCGTGTTGTATGGCCATCATGGCTCCCCGCCTCCCCCGCAGGACGCCATTCTGGTGACCTGCAGCAGGGTGGTGGACGAGGTGCCACACTTGCCTCGTGTGCACCCATGCGTCTCCCATGCACAATCTCTCCGTGTTGTATGGCCATCATGGCTCCCCGCCTCCCCCGCAGGACGCCATTCTGGTGACCTGCAGCAGGGTGGTGGACGAGGTGCCACACTTGCCTCGTGTGCACCCATGCGTCTCCCATGCACAATCTCTCCGTGTTGTATGGCCATCATGGCTCCCCGCCTCCCCCGCAGGACGCCATTCTGGTGACCTGCAGCAGGGTGGTGGACGAGGTGCCACACTTGCCTCGTGTGCACCCATGCTTCTCCCATGCACCCATGCGTCTCCCATGCACAATCTCTCCGTGTTGTATGGCCATCATGGCTCCCCGCCTCCCCCGCAGGACGCCATTCTGGTGACCTGCAGCAGGGTGGTGGACGAGGTGCCACACTTGCCTCGTGTGCACCCATGCGTCTCCCATGCACAATCTCTCCGTGTTGTATGGCCATCATGGCTCCCCGCCTCCCCCGCAGGACGCCATTCTGGTGACCTGCAGCAGGGTGGTGGACGAGGTGCCACACTTGCCTCGTGTGCACCCATGCGTCTCCCATGCACAATCTCTCCGTGTTGTATGGCCATCATGGCTCCCCGCCTCCCCCGCAGGACGCCATTCTGGTGACCTGCAGCAGGGTGGTGGACGAGGTGCCACACTTGCCTCGTGTGCACCCATGCGTCTCCCATGCACAATCTCTCCGTGTTGTATGGCCATCATGGCTCCCCGCCTCCCCCGCAGGACGCCATTCTGGTGACCTGCAGCAGGGTGGTGGACGAGGTGCCACACTTGCCTCGTGTGCACCCATGCGTCTCCCATGCACAATCTCTCCGTGTTGTATGGCCATCATGGCTCCCCGCCTCCCCCGCAGGACGCCATTCTGGTGACCTGCAGCAGGGTGGTGGACGAGGTGCCACACTTGCCTCGTGTGCACCCATGCGTCTCCCATGCACAATCTCTCCGTGTTGTATGGCCATCATGGCTCCCCGCCTCCCCCGCAGGACGCCATTCTGGTGACCTGCAGCAGGGTGGTGGACGAGGTGCCACACTTGCCTCGTGTGCACCCATGCGTCTCCCATGCACAATCTCTCCGTGTTGTATGGCCATCATGGCTCCCCGCCTCCCCCGCAGGACGCCATTCTGGTGACCTGCAGCAGGGTGGTGGACGAGGTGCCACACTTGCCTCGTGTGCACCCATGCGTCTCCCATGCACAATCTCTCCGTGTTGTATGGCCATCATGGCTCCCCGCCTCCCCCGCAGGACGCCATTCTGGTGACCTGCAGCAGGGTGGTGGACGAGGTGCCACACTTGCCTCGTGTGCACCCATGCGTCTCCCATGCACAATCTCTCCGTGTTGTATGGCCATCATGGCTCCCCGCCTCCCCCGCAGGACGCCATTCTGGTGACCTGCAGCAGGGTGGTGGACGAGGTGCCACACTTGCCTCGTGTGCACCCATGCGTCTCCCATGCACAATCTCTCCGTGTTGTATGGCCATCATGGCTCCCCGCCTCCCCCGCAGGACGCCATTCTGGTGACCTGCAGCAGGGTGGTGGACGAGGTGCCACACTTGCCTCGTGTGCACCCATGCGTCTCCCATGCACAATCTCTCCGTGTTGTATGGCCATCATGGCTCCCCGCCTCCCCCGCAGGACGCCATTCTGGTGACCTGCAGCAGGGTGGTGGACGAGGTGCCACACTTGCCTCGTGTGCACCCATGCGTCTCCCATGCACAATCTCTCCGTGTTGTATGGCCATCATGGCTCCCCGCCTCCCCCGCAGGACGCCATTCTGGTGACCTGCAGCAGGGTGGTGG